ATATGCCTTTTCAATGAAGAGTTGTCAAATATTTGATGACATCATCAATCATATGAAAATGTTTTTTTTGGTTCATTAGATCTTAAAATCAAGTTAATTATGACCATTGGATTGAATATTTTTTTCCTATAAAAAAATGCTGATGTCACTTTCAGTTTGCTATTATATATAGATGAGTTAAGAAAACTTGTATCTGATTGACTCTTCAACCTTAACAAATCAAACTAGAGCAGAAAGAGAGAGATATAAATAGAAGAAGTTCTTTGGTACAATGACAAATGAAACAAGGATACATAGTTTATAAAGAGAGGGAGTTCTGGTACATTACATAAACCGTGACAAATACTACAATAATCAGTGTACAAACAAAAAAAATTGTACACTCTACCCGTGACCTCTCCAAAGACAACAGACAGGAGAGACCAAAATAACTAATACCCGTGAAAGAAACATACAACAAAGCCAGCACCCGTGAACCATCCTTCACCAAGTACCCGTTACCTGCCAAAAAAACAATGCAATAAACTGAATAAGTTAAAAGATCCAATGAAACAAATAAAGCAATAATCACAAAATCAAGCAAGCAAGTTAATCACAAAATCAAGCAAGCAAGTTAACCAGATCAAAGCATTTCAGAGATTAGTTTGTTCTTAAGCTCGACTTGTTAGCCGAGAGGTCACTGTCTTTTTTTGGCAAGGAGACGCTCAAGGAGCTTCTGTTTGGAAATGGGTTTTTTTTTCAGCTAGAATGCTCTCTATTTGATCGAATGCTGCTTCATTAGTGTGTTTCTTGCGTTTGGCAGCCTTGCTAGCCTTAACTTTAGGAGGCCTAGCCTCTTCCTCGTCAGGAACCACCTCCGCAGCTTCCTTCCTTTTCTCTTTTGGACCATCTCTGGACGAAGTCTGTGCTTTCCATTTTTTATCAAACCGGAGCTCCATCCAACAATGTTCAAGAGTGAACTTGACATTGTAGTCATTTAAGAAGATGTCATGAGCATTCTTCATGACATCATTCTCATTTTCCCCACTACCTAGCCCCTTCAAAGCTGCATCATAGCGACCCACAAACTTCCCCACCAGCTCATTAATTCTCCCCCACCTCTGCTTACATTGACTCCACTCTCTAGGGACATTGCCATTGAGCTGAGGGCTTGAATTGAAGTAGTCTTCAATCCTCTTCCAAAAGGCGCCTGCCTTCTGCTCATTGCTCACAATGGGGTCCTTGCTGGTGTTCAACCAAGCACTGATTAGGACCAGGTCTTCTTTGGTTGACCACTTCCTCTTTTGCGGTTTTCTTAATCCGGGAGAGTTACTACGTGGCTCAGCATACTCTAGGTCTATTGGTGGACTACCCTGGGAAGCTAGTAGGTTAGCAAACGAGGGAGAGTTTATGGAAAAATAATCCATTTGGGTTTGGTTTTGGTTACAGTTTTAAGTTAAAGTGGTTTTAGAAGAGGGTTCAAAGCTATTTTAAACTACAGTCATTAAACACAATCGAACTACCAAAAATTCATTACGGTTAATTACACAACTACTTAACCTCAGAACTCATTCAATACACATCAACTCAGAACATTTATCTCGGACCACCCAACCACCAAATAGTTAAAGTAAATTTTACTTCTAAAACTAGTTAATTTTTGCTTTAATAAGAACTAAACTAGTTCTTCTTGCAAACGTTACTTAATATATACTTGCTTTAATAAGAACTAGTTCTTCTTGCAAACGTTACTTAATATATACTTGCTTTAATAGGAACTAGAGAACATTTATCTCGGACAGTTTTAAAAAAACATGTTACTTAATATATAAGAACTAGAGAACATTTATAAAAACAGTTTTAAAAAAACATGTTACTTCATATATACTTATCTTTGGTTTTCATTCGTAGCAGACTCTCTCCAGGTCACCGATGTGCACGGTGAGGTACTCAACCTGACCAGAGAGCTCTTTAACATGTTCCTGCACATTGAAACTCCATCGACATTGATTTAGTGACTTAAATAACAATAGCAATATACAATGAAACAAAACCTGTAATAATTCACTAACCTCCAAGAACTCTATCTGTTTGTTGATAGTCGCGACCCCCTTGATCATCTCATCTGCCTCCTCCACCCGCTTAGTCAACCTTTTTAGCTCCTCTTGTACACCAATTACCCAAGGCTGACGGTAGTTTAAACCATCACCCTTGTTAACAACATAAACACAAGCAAATTAGGGAGAATCTTTTAGAATTTTAACAAACTATAGAGCTTATTATCTTTGTGACATTACCTCGAAGTTCATGCAGAAGAAGAAACGCTTGCCAGGAAGAGTGTCGTAATCTTCCTTCACACTAAGTTCGTCGATGATTCTCCCACCACACAGACACCTTCTCGGGATCCCATACTCAGAGTCAGCAACGCATCCAACTATGTTGATGTGCTCCTTTTGACTCTTTCTGTCTCTTCTCTCTGCTGCGGGATCCGTCTGAATCAGAGAAACAATCTATTAGAGACATGAAACGAAATAATATCTTTGAAAAAAACCATATATCGCATCTTCTAAACTATTACAAACGGAACACAAGCTCGTAAAAGATTTGGTTAACCATAAACCTAAACCCTTAAATCGATTTACATAACTAACTTGAACTCCATTTCGAATCCCAGACAAACGACTCCTATAACTAACAACAATGACGAATTAGAACCCTAAATCGAAAGTCGGTTTTACATCCCTAGCTCGAAACCCCCAAATTGATTTCGAATTCCCGAAATCGATTTCAACCCCAACGACTCCTAAAACTAACAACAATGACGAATTAGAACCCTAAATCGAAACCCCCAAGTCGATTTTACAACCCTAGCTCGAAACCCCCAAATCGATTTCGTTTTCTCGAAATCGATTTCAACCCCAACGACGATTTAACCGGTTAATCAACTCGATTCTCACCTTAGATCGTAGAGGAGACACTCCGACGTCGATAAGATCAATCAATTATCACGGTCTCGGCCTCCTTAATGAAATCGCCTCGGAGCGTCTCGAACCTAATTTATTTATGCGAGAGAAGAAATGGTTTTCTCTCTCCCAGATCCTCTTTCCCCCTCTTCTACGCAGCTCTGGCTTGCCCACTCAGAGAGTGACGCGTGGAGTGACCCCGTTTCATACAGGTTCACGCGAGTGAACCGGATCACTCGTAAATGGGTATTTTTTTTTGTAATTTTCGGGCCTAACAAACCCAGCCCATGACCCCCTTATAAACTCTTGATGTGGTTGCTCTTAGAGCATAAATAATGCTGGATTGTGGTCTTTATGAAAAAATAAAAAATGATGTGGCCCCACACATGATGGAAGAATGGGATCTTCCGAGCGTAATTTAAGAAACAAGGTTAATTTGGTTTTTGTATTGTTCATGGGCTACAGTAACAAGTGGTAATCCGTGATTAGTTCATTTTTTAATTTTTTTCTTTTCTATCAGACAAAAATATAATTAAAATAAAAAATAAGAACCCCACTAAAGGTTCTTGGGATAAACATACTCTTATATCTCTTGCTGCTGCCTTCTAGTTTTTGAATCATGTTTTTTTTCTTGCCTCCCGACCACAAAGAAAAGTTTTTAGTCAAAACCATACACATTAAATATATCTTCAACATCACTCCATATTTTACTTCATAATAGGATTTAGAGTAATAAATGTTTTAAGGAATTCTATTTTCATTTCATAATAGAAAACATTTTTTATTCAGAAAAAGGAAGTAATATTTTTATTTTTTTTTTATTACTTCATTTTTCATTCCAAAATAAAGTAGAATTAGAATAAAAGTCAAATATATCATAGAGTTATTTAATTTTGGAAGAAACAAATAGAATTTTAGAGTGGAGATACTCTTCTTTGGCCTCGATTGGTATAGCAGACGATAAATCAATAGTAATATGCTGTAAAAGTAGTATGCTGCAGAAGTTGTATGCTTTCATTAAAGTTTTTAATAAATTGATTGGTAGAGTTGTATCAATATACAATTTTAAAATTATTATAATAGCTAGTATAAATATATATTTATTTTAAAATAATATTTATATACTGATAATATATATTAATAATATATTTTATTAAATAATGATTCTTATTCACTATATAAATTATATTTCAAAAAATGTAAAATTTATTTTAAAAATGTTAATTTTTGGATATAAAAATATTTAGCATTATTAAATAAATAAGTTGATTATATTTAATTTATTAATTTATTATAAATAATTTATATATAAATTATTATTATTTATTTTGGTAAAGCAATAACTGATTCATATATAAAATTACCATAAAAGTGAATATATGTTATACAATTTATTTATTAGTGTGTAAATAATATGTTTATATCTATAATATATAAATATATTTTATGTTATGTTTTTTGTTAAAAATAATGAACGATATCTGTAATTATATAAGTTATATAATATTTTAAATGTGAAATATTTTTTTAAAAAAATTAATTATATTTTTATTCTTATTTTTTAAAATATAAATTTATTTCTTGATTATAAAACTATTTATTATATTATTAAAAAATAATAATTATATATAATTATTTTTAAATTTTATATATTTTATCTGCAAATGCTCTCCTAAAAGCTTTATATGAGCACATTGAGCAAAAAACATTTGGAGAACATTTGCGTTCGATAAATATTTTTCTAAATGCTTAGTTAACAAATATTGATTGGATAATAGAGAACATAATGCTTATGTTAATGCTCTACCCAATTAAACCCAAATCAAAGCATAATGTTAGGTAAAAACAAGGATGTAATTATTGGCAAGGAATAAAAAAAGAGATGGGTCCACAACATACACATACGTAGATCATAAAACCAGTCTTGTGTCGCATAACTGCGTTCACAATCTATCTATATATCTCACCTTTCTCACTTTCTCTCTCTAAAGCAACCACATTTCTCTCTTTCCTTCTTCATCTTCTCTAAGATCAAGCTTTCGGGAAAAGGAAGAAGCCATGAGCTCCTCAATTATGAAAACTCTCCAGATTCGTAAACCCACTTCTCTCCCCGTCTCTTCCACCGCTGCCAACGCTGGTGAACCAGGTCTTCTCCGTCGTCGTCTCTCTTCCCTTTCCCTGAATCTCTCCCGTAACCAGCCTTCCACCGATGATTTCCACAGCTCCAAATCTGTCTCTTCCATGGGAGAGCAAGGAGGTAGCTCTATGAAAGAATGGTGGGAGTGGAGTTGGTCATTGATGATTCTCTTGAAGAAACTACCAATCTTTTTCACTGCAGATCTTGAGTTTAACAAGGACGGAACCAAATCCTTTTTTGGGAATCAAGAAAGAGGCAGTTTAGCTCAAGTCTTCTTCAGGCTCCGATCTGAGATCCGACGTCTCCTCCGTACTTCCTCCTCTGACTCTCTCCCTCTCTCCTGCAATCGATGAAGTGATCATTGAAGGTTTAGACTTTATGTGTAGTCCTCTACTCATATTCTTTATAAGCAAAATTCTTTTCTTTGGTTCTTAATTCAAGGTGCTTGATGAAGTTGTTTCATTGTAATTAAATGTATAATTATTTCATTGTTTTGTACTGAGCGATGCAATCAAACGTAAAATACCGTTGTTTCTTTATTTACTACGCTAGGCTGGTCGTGAATGATGATGAAGAACAATGATTATAATGCAAGTTTATTTGTTTCTTTAAATTTTTAAAAGTTTAGCTGAAAAATAGAAAAACATGATGATGTATATGATTAGATTGAACAACGTTGCTACATACAAGTCAAATAGAAGCATTTGAAGATCTTAATTAAAGGTCAAAACATTGGAGCTGGTTTTACTTTTATTTCAATTTTTTGTTTGTGCGTGAAAATAGGCAGAAATGGTGTTTTAACGTGTTACGAAAAAAGAAAAGAGAATCTACGTACGAAACGTCGGCTACGGTTAAGGTGGCCTGTGGCCATCACCTTTTTGGGCGGTGGGGACAGGAATAATAATCGCGTTGGTGGCGCATTGTTATATTTAATCTGATTTTATCATTTATCGTCTGTCATTAACTATCTAAACCTTTAGTATTTCGTTACCATACCTTATGGGACCTTCACAATTTAAAACTAAGAAAGATAAAAAACTACTGCAATAGGTTTTTTTTGCAGTAGTTTTATTTATGTTGTCATTGTCCCTCTGTACTTGCCTTTGAGCCTTTTATGAATATTAAAAAAAAAAAAAAAAAAAAAAAAAAACTAAGAAAGATAAGTTTTTTTTTGCTTAAACTTTGGTGAAGATAAGTTGTCGAAACAATTGAACCTTAATCATTTTTAAAACAACGGAATCTTATTAGATCAAGGATTTTAGAGAAATTCATATTTTTTTTCTTTTAAATCTACAACCTAGCATTTATAAATTGTATATAAAAAATCCAAAGTTATTGGATTAGTCATTTGTGTAAATTATCTCTAATTTCGGTTTAGTAATAAATATGGATTCTATCAATAAAACTTTTTTAAAAGGGACTTTTTTTGAGACATTTGCTAAAAACAACCTACAAATTCAAATCAAATGGAAAAGTGTACCTTATTTTCAATCAAATTCAAAATCAACCTAAAAGGGTAGGGAAATGTCTATTTACCCTTTATGACTAAACATAAAATCATAATGCTATTATACAAATTTATCCTTATGAAGTCTATATTTAATAGATAGAAGTCTACAAGGTGTAAAATTATCGTGAAGTCAACATTATAGACTTATTACGAAGTCTACGTTCTAAGTTAATCTTATAATTTTATTTTAAAAATGTATAAAAATATTTTGTGTGAAAATGTTTTTAGGTCATCAATATAAGAATCAATACGAGGTATATAAATTAAAATTTCATATAATTAAACAATTTTAACGAATATCTTTTGATTAGGTAATTATGTGTTGGACAATGTTTATGGTTTAGCAAAAGATGTTCTAACAAATAATGTCTTTTAAGGTTAAATTCTTAGGGTTAGATTTTGTATTTAGATTTTTTTGTTATTATTGACTTAAATTTACATTGAGTAGTTTATATTTTGTATCTTAAGATTTGATATAATAATTGAGACTTATTGATTATGAAAAAAAAAAATTAGGGGTTGAAATTTGTGGCTTAGAGAATGATAGACTTACAATAATGTCTACTTATTGTAAGTAGACGTTTTATGTAGTCTACTAAAATTAAAAATCACTATTTCAAATTATTTCTAGTTCTTAACTTATAAAATGTGAAATAATATGTTACAAAAATCAAAACAATAAGGGTCCCAAAAAATAAATAAAAAATTAGTAAATCATATATTAAAACTACTATTCCAACAATAAAACAGTAAAAAAAAAAGTTTGCTGCCAATTACATATTTATGAATAAAAATGTCTAAATCTTATTTATGATACAATAACTGAGATTTTTTTGGTTATCAAACAAACTTATAGGGTTTTAGTTTTGTGATTTAGAGTTTGGTAAACTTACAAGAAAGTCTACTTCAAAGTAGAAGTGTTTTTCAGACTACTTTAAATTTTAAAATCATCATTTTAAATTAAATTGAGTTCTTTATGAATTAAAATGAAAATATAAGAAAATATAAGAAAACACGCAAAAGAAATGAAAGCATTAAAAACTTTAAAAAACATTAGAATGATAATTTTTATTATTATCATGAAAACACGCAAAATAACAAAGGGGAAACTATTTTTTTAGACCAAATAGGTTTGGACATTGTCCCTTTACTCTAAATTATATTTTGAACCAAATTTGACTCTAATGCCCTTTATTTATTTCTGAAATTATTAAAAAATAAGATTTATGAAGCAAAAAAAAAATTAAAAATAATACATAATGATGAAACCCCTATATCTATATAGTGATATTTTTTTCCTGTTTTACAAATATGTAAATAATAATTTCAAATATTATTCTACCGAAATTAGATACCGTATTTTACGGATTAGAATACATAATCCACTTTTTCACTATTTCTACGAACTGCATTATATGTTTTCTACGCAGATAACACGAATCTAAAATAGTTTGGAATACACATTCCACTCTTATCATAGATTTGTAATAAAAGTAGAAATTGAAATCTAAATTCTTACTTAAATCTAAAACTAGTAGAAATCGGAATCTACATTGTTACAACGTTCTAATACATGTAGAAATTGATTTCATATCTCTTAACACCGTTCTACCTTTAGTAGAATCTGAATTCTACGGATAAATATTATTAGATCCGAAAATATAGGAAGAATATATTAGGAAATATTCGGTTTCCATATTTAAAATTCAATTTTTTTTTTTAAAAAAGAAAATTCAAAGGCATAAACGTTTTGCTTGGGCACGGGATCGATCGATCTCACCTAGGGGATCGGTCGATCCATAACGATTGTTCTGTACGATCGATTAGACTCTAAGAAAGACGAAAAAAATTCGCGAAATAGTGTGGTTTAGGCTCAAGAATCGTCCAAATCAGAACAAAACTGAGTGAGTTAGGGTTTATGAATGAGGAACCTCCATTGTCTACCTTTTTACGTGATGGCAGAGAAGAGAGTGATGGGTTTGATCCCAAAAACACGAATTAGTAGGTTAAATCGTGTTTACTCGGTTCAAATCAAATGTGAATTAAACCAGATATAATCGAAGAAAACCATGAAATTGAGTTGGAAGAATTAACTAGGATCGGGATCGATCGATCTAGAACATAGATCGATCGATCTTTGGTAGATCGATCGGTGTAGATCGACTGAACTTGATAAGGTCGATCAGTTTCTGCTCCGTGTTTTTTAATGTTTTTGTTTAATCATCGAGATCGACCGCTGGGATCGATCGACTCTTTACGGGATCGATCGATCGATCCCGTCATTTAGAGCAGTTTCTTTCGTCTTTTTTTTCCCGATTTGAAGATTTTTATTTTAAATTTTTTTACGATTTTTAAGTGAATTTAAAGGCATTATTGTTATTTAGAAAATATTTAGCCTAATCGGACATAAATTACTAGAGATTAATCTAAAGGGACAATGTCCACACCTATTTGGCGTAAAAAAACTATTTTCTCAATAACAAAATGACATCAATAACTCCAGTCTATTGTATCTCATCATTTTATAGAATATATACTAATGAAAGGTGATATAAAAATAACTCTTAACACATGTGAACTATGAATAGATTATTAACAAGTGGGGGCATATGGGTTTCCCTGTCATGTTCCAATCTACCACGTTAGTACCAATGTATGATTGATTGTTTCGAACAACCTGAAGTTTGGTTTTCAAGACATCACTTTTGAGTACATGATTGAAGACTTATTAGCTCACATATTCCACACTGCCATCATTCATTGCTCTTTTCATCTATAAATATGCATTATGTGTACACGTATGCGTTCATATATATATATATATATATATATATATATATATATATATATATATATAATTGCGTTTTTGCCTGTACCTGTAGAACTGGTGGACGGCCTAGACTTGTAACCTATCAGTTTGCATTAAACTAGTAATGTAGTTGTCGTGTGTTATAAACTGAATTCAAAATCGAGAGTGAGTGTGATGCAAAAAGGGGTGGGAGAGAGCATTTTAGAAACCTTCACACAACTTATGTAACACTTGTACTTTCATGGAAGATGATTGATCTCTCAAGAGCCAAAAAGGGTCAAAGCTTTTCAATAATGGAGAATAATGTCACCAAACTTGAACAGTTGTTACAAACAATCAAAACAAAAGACAGAGAGAGAAAGAGAGAGAGAGTAGAAATAGTCCTCACAACTAACTGATGAAACAGAACAAAATACTTTTTGTCGATCCATCAATGTTAGTCATACATTAGTTTTTTTTTTTTTTTTTTACATTTTAAAGTCAAAACCTTCAAGGATTTAGCTGCCTTTTTACTGCACCTATGAATCCGGTTTCTCTTCAGCCTTCTCTGTGATTGAACATTGATTCCGTGGAAACATTTGCAAATGGTTCAAAGACGTGCCTATGCATCTCTCATGCTGATGTTTAGGCTATTTCTCATTGTTCGTCTCCCAACACCAGCATTGCCCTTTTGCATCATGGCAACGAATTCTCCATAGTCAATCCGTCCATCCTGTAACAAGAAAAAACCATAAATTTTATCAGCATGAAGAGAGAAACCATTGTTCAAAAAACATGTCAAGAGGCAAAGCTTTACATTGTCTTGATCAACTTCTTTGATTACATCTTCAAGAAAAACATCGGTCATCCCGTGTTCCACGCAAGATTGTTGCAGCTCATCAATGGTGATGTAACCACTTCCATCTTTATCAAAGTACTGGAACGCAGAGACAAGATGCTCTTCTCTGTCTAGTTTATTCAGATGGATCGTCGCTGCAATAAACTCACTGTAATCTATTGTACCACTGTTATCCACATCAGCCTAAGATATAACA